CCCCTGCCCGAGCGCCGGGCGGGGGCTGCGGGTCGGGAGTGAGGGGCAGCGCCGGGCGGGGCTGCGGGTCAGGAGTCAGGGGCAGCGCCGGGCGGGGGCTGCGGGTCGGGAGTGAGGGGCAGCGCCAGGTGGGGGCTGCGGGTCGGGAGTGAGGGGCAGCGCCGGGCGGGGGGCTGCGGGTCGGGAGTCAGGGGCAGGGGCCGAGCGGCAGAGCAGGGGCCAGGGCTTTGCCCGGTCCGTGGGCCCTGAGCGCGGCTGTCTCCCCGCAGGCGCCCAGGGGCCCTGCCCCGCGCTCGGAGCTGGTGACCTTTGCCTACCTGAGCCCCCTGGTGCTGCGCAAGGAGTTGGAGAGCCTGCTGGAGAACGAGGGCAGCGACTTCCTGGCCCAGCCGGAGCTGGTGGACAGCCATCCCATAATATACTGGAACCTGGTCTGGTATTTCCGGCGCCTCGGCCTGCCCAGCAACCTGCTGCAGCTGGTGCCGGCCTCCCAGCACCTCCGGCCCGCGCCCCAGGTACGGGACCAGCTGGGGGGGGAGGGGCACCGGCAAGGGGCTCCCAGGGGCTGGGGGGGTCCCCACCGGTTCTGATCCGCACTCCCCCCAATGTCTCTCTTGCAGGCCCAGGCCCCCGAGGGCCCCCCGGTGTGCGTGCGCCTGCTCTGGGATGTCCTGACCCCAGACCCCGACAGCTGCCCCCCCCCTCTATGTGCTCTGGAGGGTCCACAGTGAGTAGCGGGGGCGGTGCCCGTGGGCCAGCGCGGGGCGGTTGGGGTGGGGGAGGGGTGTCTGTGGGTCAGCGTGGGGCGGTTGGGGTGGGGGAGGGGTGCCAGCACGGGGGGGTTGGGGTGAGGGAGGGGTGTCTGTGGGGGAGGGGTGCTCGTGGGTCAGCACGGGGCAGTTGGGGTGGGGGAGAGGTGCCCGTGGGTCAGTGCGGGGGCCTGGGGGGGGATCGGCCGGTGCGGTGACCCCCACTGTCTCCCCACAGGGAACAGCGCTGCCCGGCCTCAGTCCTGGCGGTGCCCCAGCAGCCCCTTCTCGCTGGCGTTCCTGGAGGCCGTGCTGAGCCACGTAGGGCTGGGCGAGATGCATAAGGCCATCGCCCTCTTCCTGCAGACCCTGGCCGCGGAGCCCAGCCCCC